GCGCGAGTGCATACCTGTGCATAGAAAAAATGCATGAAGTATACATATATATACACAATGTATATAACTTGCATGCAAATCTCAGGCGCCTCAAGGATCCTTGGTTCGGCATGTGGTCGGCGTACATGCTGACCACTATGCCTGGGCGGACTGGACGGACCAAAGCTCCTACGATGCCGTCGCCGTCCCAGTCGCAAGTGTACCGCCACAGACAGCCATCATATTCTTCAACCCTTCGGAATCTTCGGGGCCACGTCTCTAAAGGTGTCAATGTCTGGCCCGAATGAAGCCGATTCTGGTCGTCTTTCGAGAGCGAAATCCATCTGGTCGAAGGGGGAAGGGTGCCGATGTTAAATCCCCGATAAAGAAAAACGATCTCCAATTCGGGAAGCTCGTCCGCCATCCTTCAATCTTCTCACGGCCGTGCTACAAACTGCTGCGAACGAACTTGGTCCTGCAGCAAACAGCAGCGGACATGCATATAGTCCTGCTGCTGTATACATGATTGCCTCAGAAACATCACTTTTCAATTCATCACTGTACCATTTCCCGACGTGCAGGCCGCTACATCACGAATTTTTTTTCCGACAAATGCTCACCGCTCATGTGGCTATGTGGGAAACGAACAACGATGACACACACGTTTTGTGGCGCAGCGAACGTCCTCCTGCTGCAGCCCGGCAGCGAACATGTGTTTGGAAAGTTCTGCTGCCGACTGCATGCAATGAGCAGGCAATGTGTTTGTACATCTTTGTGTCCTCACATACCACAGTTCCCCCCTAATCCCTAACCCCGAACCCCTAAACCCCTAAACCCTAAACCCCTATACCCAAACCCCTAAACCCCTCCTCTCCAAAACCCTTTTCGACCCTTCACCCCTATATCGCCTTCAATCCCCAAACCCCTAAACCCCTAAACCCCTAAACCCTAAACCCCTAAACCCTAAACCCTCAAGCCTTCAATCCCCAAACCCCTAGACCCCTTAACCCTAGACCCCTGAAAACTTCAATCCCCAAACCCTTAAACCCCTAAACTCCTTTAAAACCTGCAATCGCAAAACCCCTAAACCCTATAAACCCCTATAATAACCAACCTATATATGCCAACCCAACTAACCGTATGAAGTCAAGCCATTATGCACACGAGCAAACCAAATCCATCAACCTCTCAATTTGACCTTGATCCCATAGAAAACCCTCCGTCCTATTGTAGGTATATGCCTCTTATAATTTATGGAAACCCCTCGATACCTCTACATCTACATGCATCAACTTAGACAACAAACTCACATGATGCAAGTTTCAGTCTCTTGCAATGACATGTATGAAAAAGAGTACACATACAGTGCTCTATATATATATATACACGTTTTGCAATATCATCTATAATATTGACATTTATATGATACACCTTCTATATACTATATATATTTACGGCATTTAACAAAGTCGAAGTAAAGTCAACCCAAGCCCGTGCCCTTGGCTATATATAGCTCTATAAGTATATATATATATATATATATATTTATATGAATATTTACATTTATAGAGCTATACAAGGGAGTCACAGTATACTCCCGCCATTGGGCAGAAAACCGATAATGCTCACACCCTATAAACCCCCAAAACGAAAACCAAACAAAAATATTCAGAAAACAAACAGATGACGAAGTTAAAACCTTGAGCCCGCCCCCCACCCTCGCCTAAACCCAACGGCCCCCCTGCCTTCAGCAGGGGCTCGTAGACGCGGTGGCCGCGGCAAGACATGGGAATGGGTTTAATCTTACAAACCCTATACCCTATAGGGTATAGGGTTTGTAAGATGGTGTTTGTACGGTTTTGTTGTTTTGGTTATCTATATATATATATATATGTACATACATTTATCATACGGTTTTTTTGGGTTTCCGGACCTGTGCATACTACTTATACTTTGATGTTGCTTTTGAAGCTTTCGGTGTAGATATGGGTCTGGCCAGGTTTATATATGCAACGTATATATATCTTCCTACGTATATGATAAGTATATCCGTTTATTATACCTTACGCAAAGGTGCCAAGATGCAGACTCGATTCGTGTCTTTTGATATCGTCCATACGAAGTTACGATATTGGAATGTAATAGTTCGCTATGTTATACAAAACATGTGAAACAACGTACAAAGACATATGTGTGCATGCGGGTGGCGACGTATGCTCACATGCTCTGTCATATATACACGTACGCGTATATATGTATATGTGTGTACAAAGGTATATATGTATATACATGTATAAACATACATATATAAAATTTTACCGTGGGTCCATGTTACATTCTTACGCAGCAATCTTTATGCATTTCATTCAGCTTAAGAAAACATTCCAAAAGCACAAAGATATACATTGGATTTTTGATGAAATATACAATATTTTCATACGGTTTAAGGCATGGTCCGTGGGACCCCCTAACCCACTTAGCCCACTTAGCCCGGAACCCAGTTAATCCACTTACGCAGCGACGGTTCTAACCCACTAAACGCACTTAGCCCTAAGTCTGTTTTTCCATTTAACATACTTAGCTATACCCCCATGTTTGCACTTATAAGTAAACACGTAAGTACATATAGCTGTGCCATGAACTACATGATAAGTGGAATAATAACTTATGGTTTTAGCTAAGTGCTTACCCTCAGCCGTAACCACATACTATGTCCGTCCCTGCATATATCTGACATGCATCACATACAACCATAGTTGCCGGAATTATAAGTGAAGTTATCCCGTTTATAACCAGACTTATAACTACTTTGCAAATACGATAAACGTGCTATTCAAATATAACCCCGACGATCCTCCAAGCAGAAGCAACACCACCGTGCAACCGAAAACTGCGAAACCCTGAGCAACGACGCCGCCTGCAACGACAAGTCTGCGGTTTGCCTGGTCCGCCCAAGCCCCGAGCGCGGGCGAAATCAGCGCACAGGCCAAGGTCGTCGCAAGGCCCCAGAATGCAGGGCCAATAAGCGATCCCGGCACGAAGCGGAGAAGGACCAGCGGCGCGATGAAAAGCCATCCCTGACTACCAAGCCTTGTGATCGCGTGGCTCAGGAACAGCTTTCGCTGCACCTGAGTGTCTGTGAGCCCCGGCAGCAGTGGCTCGGCTGCGGCCATCGTTGGCCGATGTTGGGATTCACTACTACCGACAGTGCACGTGTGGGAAAGCATGTGTTGTAACTCAACAAGCAAATGCTCAGAAGGCAGGACAACTTCTAGAACAGCTCCTTGCATCCGACAGGATCTTACTCTTGAGCCGTGGCCGAAGACGAAACATGAAGGGGTTTCGGAGTGTCATTTGGGGTTCTACTAGCCCACTCGCACGAAGCAAGCACGGACTCCAGCAACTGTCGGCAAACGTTAGAAGAAACAGAACCACAGCAGAGGGCTTCGTTCTGAAAAACAGAACCTAAAATCCATTAAAAACAAATCTAAACGACTCGCACCCAAAGAAACACTGGCCTCCAGTTCTGCAGATCCTATCTGCCATACTATGCAACATCCAAAAAATCCAAACAAGAAGTCAGCTATAAAGGCAGGGATATATTTACATAAGATCTTAGGCCTCAGACAGGCAAGGAGGGTTTAAGGTTTCGACTCTCATACTCACTAAACTGCAGGGACATCCTGCAGAGCGGTTCAGGACCTGAGGGCCCGGGCGGAACTTCGATGTCATTGGGCCAGGGCGCCTGGCTGACACTTTCCGAGTTTCGAGGGCGCACGGGGAGGGGGGGCCGGGAGGGGAGGGGGGGGGAGGGCTTAGTAACCAGAATCGCGGTTTTAGGGTAGACTATACTCTGGGCACTCTAGCTATTTCAGGATCATACGGGAGGACTGTGATTTTTCGTTTAGGCCCCTATATCGGGTAGTTGCTACTTCGACTTCACACCGGGGCCCGAGATCCCACAGCAAATCAAACTCAAGAGCCCTAGACGGAACAAAAGGGCCCACAAAAGCCTCATCCGGTAGCTGAGTTTAGAGCATGATCACTGTCCCAGTGTCCCACCCCGAACATACGGCTTTGGATGCCAATGTTCCAACTTTCGAGCCTTGCCTTACATCCAAAGCTTGAAAAGCAAGATCCCAAAACCTTAAACAAGAGCCTAATCCCTAAGCCCGAAACTAAGAAACTAAGCCTGAAAAGCGAGATCCCCAAAACCTTAAGCAAGAGCTTAAACGCAAGGCAAAGCCAAAGAAACTCAGCACAGGCTCTCAAGTTCTCGACTCTGAAAACACCATAGAACCCCTAAACCCTAAACCCCTAAAGCCTAAACCTCTAATCCCTAAACCCCTAAACCTAGACCCTAAACCCTCTAGAACCCTCCCCTCCCGCCGAACAGGGCTATGCGCTGGGCCTGCGGGGGCTTGGCCATCGCCAGCCGCGTCCTACACAGAATTGAGGGGGGGGATTCCTATTATTTAATTATAACCCTAACCAGGGATTCCGCGAATGTATAGGTTTTAACTTGCTTTTCGGGCATAGATTAGCGAAGTTCGAGACTGAAGGTTTTGCTTCTTCGCACTTAGGGTATGCAAGGTGTAGGGTTTAGAGTTCAAGTAAACACTAACCCCCTATTGCCCTGGAGCCCCATAACTCTAAAGTACTGAAGCCCTAAACTGCCGAACCCCAAAACTCTAAACGCTAGGCTTCGGATGAAGGGGCGTCGACTCGCTCAAAAGCTCTGACAGGCTAAGCCTCCAGCCCCCAAAGCCCAAAAACCTTCAATCCCTAATCAAAGCACCTAAACTCGACCTGTCTGATTTCTTTCAAGCTCGAGAGTATGACAAAACCTTTTTACACTCCAATCTCTAGACTCTAAACTCGAAAACCCAGCCTTGCCTGCTTTGTGCGAGTTGCAAGTCGAAACCTCTCTCTCCCAGGCATTCGAAACGTCAAACCTCAAAACCTTGAACAACCAAAACCCCAAAGCCTATAGACGCCCGAGCCCCCTTTCATTTTTCTTCTCACGAGAGCCGACTTGCCAGTTCTTTGAACACCATCTCCACATTCCTGGGCTCGGGGGTGTAGTGCGCTTCTAAGCTTTGGGCTCAAGGTTCCACTCTTTGGGGCTCGTGGTTCTTTTGCTTGGCTTTTAGGTTTGTTATTGAACGGTTATAAGAGGGTGGATTCGGGTGTAGTGTAAGGCTTTCGTGTGTTTGGGTCTAGGCTCGGACATATCTTGGGCTTGGGCTAAGCAAAGTTCGGGGTCGGGTCCTTTAAGGTATAGTGGGTTTAAGTTAAGAATGGGGCCCCAAATCGAACTCCAAATCATGGGATCCTCATTGTCTTATTGCATGAGCAATTGCTCAGACCTTCATCTTCATTTGCGGCAAGGTCAGACTGGCGAAGGGCTTGTGCTACGCATCGTTAGAGCAGTAGGTGAGGCCTCGACGGTGACTCTGTTGTGTACACCACGGAAACTACGATGCACCATTGCTTTGTTGAAAACTGGAAAAGGGACAAGGACGGCAACTCATACTCATGCTGCTAGCTACTTCATTGTTCTTGCTTCTTGCAAGAGGCTTCTGAATTTGAGGCATTTGGGCTTTGACAAAGGGTGGGCGTTGGCTGCGGACACGAGAGACTGCATCGAGCCTTTCAGAGATCACCAAGACGTGCACGTTACCAAAATGCTGCGCATTATTGTGGCGTGTTTCGGGTCTAGAGCGGCCCATGGCAAAGGTCCGTTTCAGAAACAGAGCACACGAAGATCACATAGCACGCAGAAGAAGTATGGTACCATGTCAGTTCATGTTCTGGCCTTGCAAGTCCGGCAGCACCCGAGCCATGCCAAGACAAGCTGGCAGAAGCCTTCGGGAAGGCTTCCACACACTCCAATCCAGAGATGACTGCAGCCCCACCCTGCCACCTCCCAAAACAAGTTACTCTTGAAGTCCTTCCCAAAGCAGCCCAAGCCCTCGCCTCATGACCCCAACCTTTCTCCACTCCCCAAACCCACAATTATCGCCCCCCCCCCCCCCACCCTCGGAACCCCAAAGTCCCCAAAGTCCCCACCCCCTTGCGGTCCCCAGGCTCCGCCCTTGAGCGCCGGAGGCTTCGAAGTAAGGCATCCCTCTGCTCTTGGCCCAGTCCCGTGCCACCTGCTTTAGGCTTTGCAAGGACCCAGAGAGCCCATTACCCTTAATTAGGGAATATGGCTCAAAAAATTAGGGAATATGGCTTAAAGTTTCTAGGGCTTCATATTATGATTCAAGCTATATGGCTTAATTAAGGAGAATTGGGCTCTCTGGGGACAACAGAGACAACAACAAGCCTGGTGGTAAGCAACAACGACAAAGGTAATGCTAGAGTTAGTAAGACTGTTGAGGCAAGCAGGGAACCAGTGTAGAGTGTAGGACCGAGTGGAGGATGCAATTTCTACTAGGGTCAGGGGGTTGCGGCTGTGGGTTTTGGTGATTCGGGGCCGGGGTTGCGGCTGTGGGCTTTTTAGAGCTTCGGTGCCTCCATTAAGCTTTCTCAGGCGGAGGTTTTTGCATGCGGCGTTAGGGGTGACCGCAGGGTTTTTGCAGGTTCTTGCATGTTTTCAGGCTTCGGGGGGTGGGGGGGGGTGGGGTGGGGGCTTAATGACGAACCTGTTCTACTCTTAGCAGTTCTACTACTGCTGATGCCTGCTGCCCTTTAGTGCTTTATGTTCAGACTAGCTCTCCTACTGCTGATGCCTGCTGCCCTTTAGTGCTTTATGTTCAGACTAGCTCTCCTACTGCTGATGCCTGCTGCCCTTTAGTGCTTTATGCTCAGACTGGCTCTGCTACTGCTGATGCCTGCTGCCCTTTAGTGCTTGCTGCGGGGGGTGGGGGGGTGGGGGGGGCTTAATGACGAACCTGTTCTACTCTTCGCAGTTCTACTACTGCTGATGCCTGCTGCCCTTTAGTGCTCTATGTTCAGACTAGCTCTCCTACTGCTGATGCCTGCTGCCCTTTAGTGCTCTATGTTCAGACTAGCTCTCCTACTGCTGATGCCTGCTGCCCTTTAGTGCTTTATGTTCAGACTAGCTCTCCTACTGCTGATGCCTCTGTTGCCCTAGGAGTTTTGGTACACAAAGCGAGCAAAGCGCGGTAAACAAGTCTCCTAGAGTTGCGTGAAGCCCTGAAGCTCGTAACAACAACCACAGACTTCTGTGAAGCCTTCAAGCTCAAAACAACAAGAAGAAGAGCAGCAACAACCACAGACTTCTGTGAAGCCTTCAAGCTCAAAACAACAAGAAGAAGAGCAGCAACAACAACAACAAGAAGAACGAACGACCACCACCACCAGCACCACTACCACAACCACCAGCACCACCAGCACCAGCACCAGCACCAGCACCAGCACCAGCACCAGCACCAGCACCAGCACCAGCACCAGCACCAGCACCAGCACCAGCACCAGCACCAGCACCAGCACCACAACAACAACAGGACAAAACACAAAAAAACAGCCTGACAAAGTTTTCACTTCAAGGTGCTCGAACAGTGTGTTGCGAAAATGCCACGCCAGCCAGTGTTTTCTACACATTGGTCTTCAAAGTCGTGGAAATAACGACACTTTTGACTAGTGGCTCCGCACACTTCCAAACACAAATGCGCAAAAATGCCGAAAAAAACAACATTTCCCTAAACACGGTGCAAACCCTCAATGCGCTGTCGCCGCGCGGTCGCGGTTGACGCCGCAACCTTTTTGCATCTGACTTTCAAAGCTGGGACCTGAAAAGCAAACATAAGTCGGAGGCGCAACCCTGGAACCAATCGGCCATCCGACATCTGACTCGATGCCCCAGATGGTCCTTAGCCCTCGTGCATTCTACTAGGACAGGATGATCCTCCTCAAGATGCGTGGGTCTCCAGCATGTGTATATCTCGGAGTTTCCGAAAATTAGGGATGCCTTATTTTGGGGTCCTCATAATAAGGATCCTACTATTCAGCGAACTATATCAGGGTCCCCTATTCTCGGAAACCCCCATCTGGCCACGGCCTGCTCTTGCACCAGGCGCGGATGGAGGTCTGTCTTTGTACCTGACGGAAAAGGCTTGGGGAAGATGCGCTTTTCTTGATGGACGGAAAGCTTCCCAAGACAGCAATATTATTGAAGAACACATGGCGTTCTTGGCAAGTTTTGTTAGGGCTATATCCGTTCTTTAGCAACTTCCAACTAGCCGTGCGTGCGGCCTAGATCACCACACTGTAGACCAAACAGCCCCAGCCAACTCTGATCTTGCCACTGCTGGTGGACAGAAACAGCCGCAACAACAATTGGTGGCAATGACCGATCAAATGCCAACTGTCATCAGCAGCTATGACATAGTTGCTGAGTTCACAAGCCCCCAAAAGTATACACTTTTAGTTTCATATTGGGGAATATTATCCCAGAAAGTGCAAAGTGTATCCACTGAGCTACTGAGGTCATGGTGCATCGCCGCTGTCAGCCGTGCGGATACGCTTACAGTACTTGAGAGCAAGACAAAACTGACAACACCACAGGTGAAGCTAACCAGAACACCCTATCACCGGCCATTATGCGGATCAAGCACAGGGGGCCCACACGACTTGCAGAAAGCGCGTGGCGTGAGTAAGGCTGAGTAAGGTCTCTCAAGCTGAAGCTTTCAATCTTCGGATCTCACACCATTTCGAAAAATACACTGCTAACGACGATGCAACCGCTCCATAATAAACCAGAACTGCTGGACTGGAACAAAACATACTGTACACCCCCCACCCGAAATCTAAATGAATTCAGATTCAAACCTGACACCTTGAGCCCGAAAGCTGAAATCACACACCCAGACCGTAAACCCTCTTTTCTGCATCGGGCCTCTGCGGCAGCTGGACAAAACATGCAGCAGCCCACGCACAGAAAACTAGTGCCCAAATCCTACACCTTAACACCGAAATCTCAAAACCGAACCCCAACCCCAACATCCTGCACCCTAAACCCTAAACCCTAAGCCGAACCTTGCAACCTGAACTCCGAAGCACGAAAAAACACGCAGGCAACCGGTCGAACCCCAGCACGCCTACCACGGCGTAGATCGGCTCACTGCCTTGAGCGTACCTCGTCACCTGTCACTCTTCACTGCTGGATTGCATGTATGTATGTTTGTTTGCCGGTGTACATGCACGGTAACAGACCACACTGCGTGATAAAAACTGGCCACTGCAACATACATTTCTGGCTTCCGAACTAAGGGGTTCCTCATCGGAGTCCTCGCACAAGGGATCCTGTCATTAAGGTCTTATATAGTGTTACACAAGGGCTCCTGATTTCCGGAAACTCCTACTTGAGCACTCGATGAGACGGTTGAGGGTTCCGGGGCTTAGGGTCTGGGGTTGGACCTGGAGTGACCAAACTCCCAGGTCCTAAACCCTAAACCCTAAGTTTTGCCAGCATGCACACTGATCAGACCATCCTCAACATCATAATGGCAATCACCATCGCCATCTTGATGCCGCCTGACTCCTACTGACAGCATTCTTGCACGCATCGCTTCGGAGAAACCTTGTATGACAACGAACCCCTGCGTCCTTTTACACCTGGACTTCCGCCCTAAACCATATTCCGGCATAGTTGCCCGCCCTAAAACGCAGCAAGTGAGCACACACGAACGGGCTCTGGCCCAACTACAGCTGAGAGATCGGGCAGTATCGAGGCCTGCATAGTTAGATTAGGCTGACTTTAGGGGTTGCTGGGTACAGGGCTTTTGATACAAATGTGTTCATGTAGCTGCGAGAAGATGATATTCCTAGAGGTTATTTAGGCCGCCATGTGAGCAATGATCCTCTTAAACCCAGAAGCCCGAAAGCGTAGGACCCTGAAACCTGGAAGGTTCAGGTTGCTGTCGCCAGCCGGGAAGCAAAAACCCCCGAACCCCTATGGTGAATCCCACGAAGTGGGAGTTTCCGAATATAGGGGACCCTAATATAGTGCCCTTAATGATAGGATCTGATAGGATCCTGAGAGTAAAGATCCCAAAGCAAGGATCCCTAATTTTCGGAAACTCCCAACTTGAAGTTGGAACATGGATTAGTCCCGGGATCCCCTTTCCTTGACCTTAAAGGGCTTGAGATGATGATTTACCAACCTCTCGGGCTTCTACTCTAAAACACAATGCTTCCTGAAGCCTGCAACTCAAGAGCCCAAAGGCCTCACATGCGGGAGCAACCTGGAGGAATGGGGACCCCGTAAGTCGGCTATACGTCGAGTGCAAGGCAGAGCTGCAGTCCAAGCAAAGACCTGAAAGCTGCACCCTGAAACCCTAAAACGCAATGTAGCAATGTAAAATGATTAGGGACGAGGGAAACCCTAAACCAGAATCCTTAGGCACAAGTAGAACCCAAAGAAACGCGAAATCCGAAGGACCTCGTCCGTCCACTTCTCCAGATTTTGGAAGGACCGCTTGGATGTCACGTCGAAAACCAAGACGACTCCCTGAGCTTCCTCGTCGGTTTGTTTAAAGTCAATTTCAAAAAAACCTTACGGATTTGGAATAGGGTTTTGGGCTCCTTAATACTACAATTCTGATAAAAAAGCCTAAGGACTAATACTGGTAATTATTTAGGCTTCTACATTAAGGATGGCAGCTCTGGGCGTGACTGGGAGTTTTAGAGTGAAAGATCCCGGCTTACATAAAGTGACTTGAGCTTTGGGCTCAGAGGATCTGGGGTTTTCTAAGGTTTGGGGTGGGTGCTGGAGACATCTGGGTGGTTGTCAAAATTATGGTCCCTTTTTGGGTACCCTAAATACTAGGTGCCGTATTATAATAGGGACCCAAACAGGGACCCTAATTTTGACAACCACCCATCTGGCTCCGCAAGGCGATCCATGTACGTAAACGAGGAGAGCTGTAAGGTGGTGGTCAAAAGACTAAGCCAAGCCTTAAGAACGGAAACCCTGCAGTGTAAACCTCAAGGCCCTAAATCCTCAAAAGCCACAGCACTGCGACCAAAACTTCTAAACTCTACCCTTGGGACAGACCTGGTATTCCTTGGTGGAGTCTTGTATCTAGTCCTATCAAGCTGAGATTCAGGGCTTAGTGTCCTCGCCAGCCCAACCGAAAAACAATCGACATTGATGTAGCTTGTGCGACAACTCCCATCAAGATATGCAAAAGTCAGCTCAGGGTTTCGGGCAAATCCTGCGCACCGGTCCCTAAACCCAACCCCTGAACCCTGAACATTCCTGAACCGTAAACCCCTGAAGCCCCAAGCCCCAAATCCTAAACCCTGCACCAAGCCCTGCACCACACACCCTTAATCTTTAACCCCTTTGCAACAAGCCTCGTTGTCCAGCAGCCCGGTTTTAAACCCTTTAACCCATAAGTCCCCAAGCCCTAAGCCCTAAGCCCTAAGCCGCCTTGTAAAACTCATTCCGCACGTCAATGAACTTGAGGTCGCCGCTTGCCTGGGCCGGGACGGGATCCTTCGGGTATGCGATCAAGCGTCGCGGATGTTTGGCTTTCGAGGTTGTTTAATGTAGGGGCCTTAATAATTGGGGTCGGGGGGGGTGCCTTATTACAGTTATGGGATGATATACCCCCAAACCCTATTCTAATTATGAAGGTCCCTATATTCAGGTTTCAGGCTTTGGGGTCCAAGTTTAGGAGCCTAGGATTTTTCAGGGAGGGCCTGCGCGCTCCGTGCGCGCGCTTTGGCGCCAACTCGAAAGACTATGTCCACAACTCTCTCTGTGCTAAAACGTAGTTCCAGTGTGGTCTTGTTAGGGGGGTTGCGGCGTGGTTCCAGCAATCAGGGAAGTTCAGTTTGGTTTGAATTTTTATCCAATACTGAAACTGCATGCCTCGTCTTCTGCCTTTGCCTTGATGTAGGATCCTATCCTTTAAGACTCCAGTGAAGACTACGGAATGCCTGGGATCGTTCTGGGGGCTCTGAAATACCTGCACTGTGGTCATATACTGTGGTATACCGTCACAGGGTCCTTAGTGAATGTTTGCTTTAGCAAGAACATTTGGCTGTGAGATGATGGCACGGCTGCTCTACGATACTGTTCGTGGGCATCATCAATCATGGAAAACCACGTAGCGCAGTAGGCATCGTCGCCTAAATCCATCCTCTCGAGCCCCTCGACGTCAACATCGACAGTTTTGGTGCAACGCAACAAAACTTGCCACTGTGCAAATGTCTTCGCTGTCTCGTCCGCCTACTCTGTAAAAACATGGTTCATCTGCTTGCGGATGCATTCTTCCCGTAACTACCGGGTCACGTCATCTACAAGCCGAGCGTACTCCTCATAGCACGAAAAACTGCTGGATGCAACATGGCACAATTTTGGTAACAGTTAAATCTCCTCAGCCAGTACCGTGTCGTTTCTTCTCGATGAAAGCCTAAACTAAAACGTTCAACAAATGTATTTTCACAAATGAATGTGAAGATCGCATTCAGGAGCCCAGGATTAGGGGTTTGTGGTTTTTGGTTCAGAATTTCAGAGCGGCTTAGGAGAGTTGAGATCAGAAAGGTTCAGGACCGCTTGGGCTATTGTATCGCGAGTTGCCTGCCTCCACTTCTATTGGTATTTTATACTCTCCTCAACCCTACACCCAACATCCTCAAACCCCAAACCCTAGCCACACCCCCCGTATTAAACCCAACCCTTAACAAAGGAAGCCGAAGGAATAGAGGGAATACCGCTCTTGGGACTTCCATTCGGTCACGGAGGATACCAAACTACCGATTGCAAGCACAAAACATGTCTACTCTAATCACACGTTATGTTCACCCTAAACCCTTTTTTGCCACTGGACTCAAGTCTACCCTAACCCTAAACCCTAAACCATAAAGTATCGCAGACTAGGTGTCAACAGTTTCTGGCTATCTTTAACACTTCGGTTCCTCAGAAGCTGCCCCTATCATGGTCGAGTGCCTGCTCCATGCTCAACCAAGAAGACACACTACTGCGCCCCGAAAATTTGCGGTGCTCCCCGTCCAGGCCCTGAACTAAACAAGCTTAAGGGACATAAAGCCTACACCTTGCATGCCAAGCCGTAAGTCCTAAATCGAAGGAAAATCCTCAACCCCAGTAGGCCCTACACCCGACAGCCTCAAACCCCAAGCCCTAGCCTCCCCTCCGTATTAAAGTATTAAACCCAACCCTTAACCCGAAAAACGATCAACCATGCCCTAATCCCAAAAACCCTCCCCCTGAAACATGACCTACTTGGAGGATCAGGGGACTTAGTAAGTAGGGTTATAAGTAAGGCAGCTATGCTCATATCTATTTATAACCCTATTTAAGGTGCTTACAACCCTGAACCTCCAAGCAAGCCCGAAATTCTAGCCGAGCTGCATCCCAGATGTTCACGCGGAAGTCTTTTCCTTCGGAAGCCAGCACTCGCACTCGGACTCAGGTGAGTTTCCGAAGTTTGGGGTTGCCTTATTGGATGGCGTCCTTAATTCTGCGAATCCTTCCGTTTAGTGACAGCCTGGAACTGTTTGGAGCTTTCAATCACCTTGGGCTTAGGGGTTTAGGGTTGAGGTTTCGAGGGTTATATAGGGGTTTAGGGCTTACAGGCTCTCGGCTTTGAATGTAAAACTTCGGGGCCTAGACCCTCATCCCCAGTAGCCTGTCAGATCCTATGTTAGTGTGGGTATAGTTCCCAGAGGGCCCAATACCCCTAAACTGAGGAATATGGCTTAAATCTTATAGGGTTTCATATTATGATTTAAGCTATATTCCTTAATTCCCTGATAGAACCCCTATAGATCCTTTTGAGTTTAAGGAGCCCTTTAAGGAACCCTTAGGCCTTAAGCTATATTCTTCCGGTAGAGGGGTATTGGGCTCTCAGGGTGGTTCGGACCCAGCGGCCGGCATGCTTGAGCATCTTCACTTTGAAGTCGGCACCGACCCTGGGATACTTGGCGCTGAACTGCTTAATGTAGGGGTTCCTTTCAAGGGTTCTTTTAAATGGTCCTATAAGGGTTACTATAGTTAGTATAAGGGGGGTGTTAATACTGAGCCACTTGGCACTGAACTGATTGGGGGAGCCCCCTATACCCTGAGCAGGTCTTTCAGCAGGGGCGGTCTTCGGGAATCCAGCACTTTTGGAGTCGACTCGGGCTTCGAGTGCAAAGTTTCGTGCTCAGAAGATGCATAGTTGAGGTTGCTATTGTTAAGAGCCCCTTCCGGCTGAGCACTTCGGGGTGTAGGGTGTTCTTTCATCTTCCTGTCTGCATATTCTCAAGCTTTCAGGGCCCTGCATTCCAGACATTTCAACCTGCGGCACTGCCCTAATTCCTACTAATCCTTCGAGCCAAGGTACCCTAAACGCTCAACTGTCTGAAACAAACCTAGAAGTGAACCATGAGCAGAGCAAGAGCCCGAAGCGGCCTCCACCGGGGGTACGCTTCCAGCTTGTGTAAATACGACTTGGAACGCAAAACTCTGTACTTACCCTAAAACTCCAAAGTTCCAACAATCCTCCGAGATTATGCCCTAAGCCCTCTACCCCCCCCCCCCCCCCCCCCCGAAAACCACATAAGCCACGGAAGCCCTTAAGCCCTAAGCAGATCCGAGACGCGTCGGCTCTCCAGCTTCCAGCACGACATCGCCGTCCGCGCAAAAGGAGTGTACCTGGTGGCCGGGGCTTCTAAGTCTATTAGTCTTTGGACTTTGGGCTTGGGGCTCAGGCCTTTGTTTGCTTTGGAGTCTATTAGTCTTGGGGCTTTGGGCTTGGGGTTCAGGCCTTTGTTTGCTTTGGCTTTGAGGGCCATGAATGAAGTTTGCGCTCTCGCAACTCGGGCAAGCCAGACGAGGTCTCTTGGTTCGCATTGACTACAGGTGCGGATCACTCGAGTCAGCCTTCAGTTACACCACGCTCATGAAATAAGTTTAGGTCTTAGGTTTCTTCCCCAAAGTTCTGGGTTTAGGCTCAGGATTCAGGATTGTCGTGCAGCTCAAGCAAAAGAACAGGGGCTCGACCTTTCTTCGGAAACCTAAACAACATCCCCCAGTCGCCCTCTGCATTTTTGCTGACCTCTGCATTCTTTGTTTGGCACCTCTTTCAAGGATTACTCTGGTACGTTAGGGCACAGCATTTACCCGAACGTGCTGCTCCCAAACCCCCGACCCAACCTTGAATCCAAAGCCCACAGAACTTTTTTTTGCACAGACTTGTAAATGTCCACAACCCTTTTTGCAGCAGGCTTCTCTCGCCCGGGACAGCGGCAACATGCTGACCCACCAAATCCTACCATTGAGACCAGAAAATGAGGGACCTAACCTGCTAATAAACATGACCGGATACAGAAATTGAAACCAATGGCAAAATTGCGTAAAACTGATAAGACGTAATTAATAATTACCCTATAGACCCATAAACCCCTCAACTTTAAACCCTGAAGCCTAAGACCTTCTAGCCGCACCCCCGGTGTGGAGCACCAGCGTGGACTTTCCCACGCCGACGTCGCCCAGCGTCATCAACTTGAGGTTGATCACGTCCTTTCGGGTTTCTGGCTTACGGCTAGGCTTCGGCGCTGACGCGGCTAGGTTTTGGTTTTTTGACACTCACTCTCGGACAAAGCCTGGCAAGGTCTGTAGCGATACTGGTTTAGGTTTAGGGTTTGGGGTCCGTTAGGCTTGTTCTGGTTCAAAACTAAAGTTCTTGCGTTCTAATGCTTCGGCCCTTACGCTAGCGCAAGGCAAGCAAAGATTATCTCCGATTGGCTCATGACACTAGAAACACACCCCCTCCACTGCAAACTCACGGGTCGTTGGACTTTGAACTCAGGATCTGGCATGCTGGAATTCCTCGGAAAAGGAACCTTAATCCCAGGTCGTGCTCGTAAATATACTGCCCGATTAGATAAAGGAGCCCTAATGTGGAACAGCTGTAGAGCCAAACCTTCTTGCCATGACAGGCTTTAGGGTAGGAGTTCAAGGCTCAGGGTTTAGGGCTACTGATTGCCGCCTGTTCGGTTTCCAACGGATTGATCCTAAGTGCAATTCTACATCGGCGGTACTGCAGCTACCCTATGTAAACTCCAGCACTTGCACGCCCGAGCGTAGGCTTTGCGATGAAGTACTTCGCGCCCACCCCACCACCAACTCACTATCCAACTCCTAGCTACCTCAACGTAAAGCCTCTATCTCCCTCCCTCCCTCCCTCCCTCGCTCCCTCCCTCCCTCGCTCCCTCCCTCCCTCTCTCTGTCTCTGTCTGTCTCTCTCTCTCTCTCTCTCTCTCTCTCTCTCTCCTTTCTCTCTCACTCTCACGCTAACCCCAGTGCCAAAAACGTGCAGGCCCCACGTCTAGACGCCTAGACTTTTCACCCATGCCGAGCACCCGAGTACCAACCCTCAAGTTCCCCGGAGCTATCAGGGCCCTCGGGTTTAGGGTGTCTTTTTGTTTATGATGGCTTGGCAATCGCAAACCGGAAGCTCCAGGCGTCTAAGTGTTCAGGAACCGATGGTCCAAAAAGCCTACATAGCATAGGCTTGGAACTATCTTAACGATCTTTAGCATGTTCGAAATTAAAGTGGCTCCTCAGCCATTACTAAGACCTGATGAGGGTCAGAAAATACTCTCCATTCACACAGCCCTATGTTCCTTTGCTCGGGCCCCGCCAAATCATCCCTCCTTCCGGGAGATGGGCACTTAGCAAGTACAGTAGCTGAGGAGAAGAGCTATCAGTAATACCTGGTATGATCCTAAATAGAGAATGTATAACTTCGGCCCTGCAAACTACTAATCGAGCCCCCTGGCTGTGTACCCGATCTATAGCCTTGATTGATAAACTCCATTTTGAAAGGGCCCTAATGTTGGGGTCCCCATTGTAATCCAGCTTAAAGGAATGGGTTTATTGATCAAGGGTCTACGCTACCTACTCACTACTCATCATACTTCGCTTGTGCCTTTGGACGTGGCTGCACTTTGCGGCGCTGGATGGGTTCGAAATCCGCCATGGTTTCGGCGGCGGGTTAAGCTTCGGTTTTGTAGTACCATAGATGCCGTGATTCTGGCTGCGGCTACAGGACAAGCAAATTCTTGCAGCTGCTAGCCTTGCTCGCCCTCAAATATCCTTGTTTCCCGACGGCATAGTACACCGGCTCAGGACTCTTGCTATGCTCAATGGTAGCACCCTAGCACCCTAAACCCTAAACCCCTAAACCCTAAACCCTAAGCTAGCGGACGAGGCTCGAAGGACAAGGAATGTTTGAACAATGCTGAACCTGATACACTTCGTTCTTGAGAGCTCGAAAGAGGCATATGATCCAAGTCGGCCTACACCCCAAACCCTAACCCTGACATGCAAAGCTTGAGCCGCATGGCCGTCCGGCCTCCAAACTGTCACAAGTTGAAGGATTTTGGGCACGCGTGTGGCATCTGTCATTGTGACTGATTGCAGTGTTAACTTGAGCAACAAGAAACTCTTACCATCACTCTGGACAAGGCTACGAGAGCTACGGCTGATGATAGAAATCCTGCAATACCTCAATGGCCCTAGACTACGGCAAATATGGTACATTCCTCATTATGGGTAACGCAGGGTTTATATCATCAACCATAGTAACTAGCAGGTGTTTACGGTAGCCTTTATACTGCAACTTCTGTCCTTTCAGGGTCTACTGCTTTCAAGCCTCAGTTTGGAACCCCAAGCCCGTCATATGAACTTTAACTATCACCCTTGAGACCCCTTAACCCTACATCCGAAACCTCTAAACCAAATTGCAGCTGGGCTCTAAAATCCTTAGCCCAAAAGACTTAAACACCCCAACGCTGCCAAACTCCAGGCAACCGGCCTGAAATGCAAAGCCAGCTCTGCCGCAAACTCGCCCATGAGCTCCTATGGGCCGCCCTACTTGGAGGTTCAGGGATTAGGGTTCAGTGTTTGGGTACCCTTACTTAGTAACTTAAAGGATTCTTTATTACAGGGTTCTATAAGGTTTTAGAACTTTGCCCATGAGCTCCTGTGGGCTTAAAGTAGGTTGTTGTGTTTTGGAGGTGGTGTTCCGGGGGTGTGTTTAGTATACTATGGTTGTATAGGAACTGTCAGAGGCTAATATTACGAATAGCTCAGACGTCTATAATACGTGGTTTAGAATGTGAACTGTGGAGTTCAGGCTGAGTTTAGGGTGTAGAGTTCAGAACTTAGGACAGCTTTGGGTATGGAGCTTAGAGGCGTTAGGGTTCGGGATAGTTTTCAAAGTTTACAGGTGCTTTCAAGTAGCACCCGTTCTGGGTGTCCTCATATGTGAAACGACCCTACGACTCCGTACTCTGCACTAGGATCCTCCCTTGTGCGCGACATATGCGGAAACCCGATTGTCCTTGAATTTAGCCTTGTTTCGTCAAGACCTCCACACCCCTCTTCCGGCAGCCTAAAACCCTCAACTCTAAAAGCTCTAACCCGCAAGTTTCAAGAGCCTTGATTAACATCCCAAACCCTATGCGCCAACATCACGAGATCCCCGAACTCCTCTCAGAGCTCAGGAATCATTAAATCCTTGAGCCAGGAATACCCGAATCCCAAAAGCCTAACCATGAGATACCCGAATTCTTTTCAGAACTCGAGCCCTTGAGCCTGAAATCTCTGAACCCCAACAGACTAAGCACGTGAGATCCCCCGAACACCCCTTAAAGGTACCCTTATTATAGATCCCTTTAAATGAACCCCCTTGAAGGTACGCTTTATAGACTCTTTTCAGAACAGCAGTCCGACTCGGAGATGATCTTGGTGTGCTTCTCTACCTGAGTTCATCCAAGGGTAAAAGGAGGGACCCTTAGTAAGGACCCCTAGGTATATACCCATAATATAGCCATTATATACCCATTATATAGCCCATTATAGGGTAGGGGTCCCCATTAAGGGTCCCTCCTTTTCCCCTTTGAGTTCAAGGTCCGTTCGGGTCTTAGGCTTTGGCCTTAGGGCTTTACTGTTCTGGGTTGGCCTTTAAACACCCTGAAAAATATTTATATATAGGGTCCCTTATAAACCCAAATAAGGAAAATAAAAAATGTTCCAAAATCCAACCTAGCGTTTAGGCTTTCTGGCATTGGGGAGCTGTTGCTTCCTACTTCGCCAGGACGAGCGAGGCCACATGGCAGGGTGGTTTAAAGCTTTAGGGCTTGAGTCAGTCCTGTGGTGGAGGGTTGGGTTTCGTTCTTGGTTTCGGTTTAGGGCCTATGGATTCGGAATTGGTGCTAGTCTTGTTGTCGTTCTCGCTCGACCCGAGTCCCTCTAGGACTTGACTGCCTGTCAGCATTACTCTCGCCACTCGTGTCACCGTTGTTGCCTTTGGTGGCCTTTTGGACTCTATGTGGCTGCGTGGCAGGACGACCAAACTCTGGAATGCCATACGTTTACCTCAACTTTTCTCTTCCCTCCATGTGTGCGGCACCGACCGTTGCAAACCTAGTGCAGTTCCACCCCGGTCAGCACTGGGTCGGGGATGGGTGGTCAACTGAAGGTTGAGATCTTTAGGAGCTCTTCACGTTCAAGCCTAAACCTGGCCCTGGATGGTCAACTTTCACACAAACTGACACACTCACACACACAATGCACTAAGTTGGCTTGCAGTCGCAATGGTCGTTTCTGGTGAACCTTTTGCTGACCCTCCTAAACTCCCTAAACTCCCGAAACCGCAGCTCCACAAACCTGTACCAGCGGCCCCAAACAAGAAATTGCAGGCAAAGCACATCCAGCTTCAGCATCGATGCCGGGTTTGGCGCCGTCAGCGTCCCCACATAATCCCAGAAGGTCCTCGGCTCAAGCAAACTGAACTAAGATCTCGAAATGGAGCCGTTTATGGGTCCAAAGTGTGAAAACCCAAGGCCTCAGATTTCGCGAAGTTTAAGCCTGGGGCTTCGTATGCCAGTAGATGGCTTCTACACACGCAATCTCTGAAGTTCGGGAGCAGTACACAAGGGGCCATGCAAGATGCAGGACTCGCACAAGAAAGCCCACCCACAACAACCTTATCTAAGCGTGTCCTTCAATCGCAAGGCAACACGATGAATCCTCAACCCTAAATCCAAAGCTCGAGCAGGCGAAAGAGCCCTAAGCACTCAAGCTCCCTAAAGCTTCTTTGCAAAATCTCACGTCACGTGCAGAAGAGGGGCCATAAGGCAGCTTCCGCAATGATGATCTCGTTGTGCGCCCCAACCTGGGTAGATACCCCCAAGTCAAACGCGTGCACACGACTGCTGCACGCATCCTTGTAGCCGTCTCTAGGTCTTTGCTCCTGTCCAGCCAAGAGAGCGCGAGAGCGAGAAAGGCAGAATTGAGAAGCATGACAACATTACACAAACACGCGCAATTTGTATGCATGCATATACAGCTTAGGCATTGACGCATGGATGTATGGATGGGTGGCTGGCAAATAAAAACACCGCAAAAGGCAGAAAGCAACCAAAGCCTTTTCAATCTGTTTGGGGTCCTGCGTGTTATTAGATACTCAGACTTCGCACTCTTGTTTCGCAAACACGCGAAACACTTCGCAAACACGCGAAGCGCTTGTGGCCAACATCATAAGCCCAACTTGACATTGCACTTGGCAAATCGCAACCGGCCATTTACGCTTTGGAAGAAGCCCCACCGCTGAAGTACAGAAGCACTCCCGCTATGAGGAGTACCGTCTGAGGGCCCCTGCTCTCAGCTTGCGTTTCACCTTCGAGGTCTTGCGGTTTTGCTGGTACTCCAGGGTGCCTGGGGCACGAGATGTCAGGGATTTCAAGTTCAGGGCCTCAGGGCAGGGAGTCCATTTCTGCTGAAGGGCCCTCAACCCCCTAAACAGGCCGGAGTAGTTGTTCTCCCTATTTCTCACTACTGCCGCTGGGCTCGAGTATTTGCTATCACTACTACCGCGGGACGTTAGAATCCGCTAGAAACTTTTATGTTGCCCGACCCCCGGTGCCGGAGTCGGGAAAGGGGACGCCGTTAGACTTGAAAAGGGTTTCGAAGCTTCTGGTACAAAGCATAGTTTCAACCCTCCGGATCCAGATTTACGTTTAAAGAAATAGGGTCAATTTGGGCGGGGTTAGACTTTGGGCACTCGGGCTTTCGGTTGCATAGACAGGGCCTCTGTGTGTTGTTTAGCTTCGGGCTTCAGTGGCTTTTTTTGACCACCCTCAACCCAAGCTTCAAGCAATTCCTTACTTTCGAAAAATTCAGCCAGGCTCTTGCGAAGCCCGGCAAATATTCCATTGAACTCGAAAACCCGAAACCCTGAACCCGAAACTCTAAACCCGAAACCCTAAAACCCTAAACCCCAAAGGCGTGAAAACCAGAAGCCCTTAAAGGACTGGGCCTCGCTCGATGAAGAAGGCACTCTTTGCAGTCTGTCCTGCAGCTGACAACTTTCGGCTTCAGTGTGTCGTATAGCTCTTGTTGCGGTTATCAGAGTTGTACAGGGGCCTTGAACATCAGAATCTCGATTTACGGTACGGTATACCAAACATAGTAATAAAAAAACATATATCAGCACGTAAAAGGTGTCTTATTGCTAGCTGCTAACTGCCGCTGCTAGTTATTCCGGCTTCTACTTCGTTAGCAATAGCTAGTTTTTGCTGCATTCCCTCAGCATGACATATACCCCATTAACTGCAAAGAGCATTCAACCGCGAGGTGTGCAGAAAAGTTAACATCCTATCAAGCCATGCTGACCGGAATCTTGACGGTTCTGGAGCTTGCACCCTGAACTCTCTACCCGCATCAACCACCCAAGCAAAAACCACATGCCTAACGTGATGAAATCAACAACTGCCCCACACCCATGCCTAACACTATACCAAAGCCAGCCTATGTCCACAGCCCGATACCTAGACTCCAAATCCTTAACCCCAAACCCCTATGCCTACGACCGAAGACGACCCAGACAACACCCAGCCAAGTGCTAAAGCCTAAACCTGCAACCCAAAACGCCTACGTACGCAAAGCCCAAAACCTTAAGCCCCCAAACCCTAAATGCTACGGGCCTGCTTCGAAGGCAGCTTCGCCTTACCAGGAAAGTGCTGGATTTGGCAGACATCTATGCGCAGTTCTTCGGCCGGACTGTTTTTATGGTCGAGGGGGCGTGCAAGTTTTCAGGCGTCGCTCTGGGGTTTTGGGGTTTTGGCCTCCTGCAGTTTCAGAGTTCAGGATGCCTGGTTTCGGGGTGGGATTGATTTGGGTGGTTGTCAATATTAGGGTCCCTTTGGGGTCCTTATTTTAATACGGCACCTAAATATTTAGGGTGCCCAAAAAAGGACCATAATTTTGACAACCACCCATTTGGGGTTTATACTCTCGCACTTACACCTGTCAGAGCCTGGCTTGATGGCTTTTTGCCACGCCTTGTACAAATTCAAGTTTGGAGGGCAGTCAGACATACCATTGTTCTACTGTCGCTTTCCGATCTTCCTAGCGACCGCCACGGTAAGCCGAAATGGAGTGAAGCACGTTTAGCTTGCTCTTGCAATCCGCCGCGGTCTCCGTTTTGAATACCGGCCTTGGTGTGAGCTACGACACTGTGAGGATGCATGGCGTCTGCTCTGAGTATGTCAGTTTCTCCCTTCTTACTGTACCTGCCTGCTAGATGAAGCTACTGCCTAATATAGCGCAAATGCGGTCGCTACTAATTACCCCCAAAAGCTAAAGCCCTCAACCCCAAGCCCTACGGCATAGATCCCTGCACCCCAAGGTCTGAAATCTGAAAGCCTTAAGCTCGATGTTGTTGGCTTGCCGACATCGTTGGGGTTCAGACGAGTAAGGCGTTGAAAGTAAACCCGGCTTGGAATATTGAGGGGCTGAGGTTTAGATAGGTGCACAGCTTTCGGGCTCTTTGACCTTGTCTTGAATTTTCGACTAGTGTTGCTCCGCTGAGTGCGACGGCTCAAGGGCGGACAGAAAATGGTCACCAGCCTGCCCGGTAGAAGGTGAAGTTGATGCATTCGACCATAATGGACTTCAGAACGCTCGGCTCCACATGCTGGCACCTTGGACCGTCTGCAGTGCCAGCAAGTCCGGAGATTCCACTGCACAACATGACATCGGTGCTATCGATGGAAATAGATTCCAGGAAGCAGCAAGCGGTTGCAGAAGTTAGTGGTGATAACGAGGAGTAGGTGTAGTAGTAGTCGTCGTCGTGGTGGTGGTGGTAGTGGTAGTAGTAGTAGTAGTAGTAGTAGTAGTCGTAGTAGTAGTAGTGGTGGTGGTAGTGGCAGTAGTAGTAGTAGTAGTAGTAGCAGTAGTAAGTAGTAGTAGTAGTAGTAGTAGTAGTGGTAGTAGAAGTAGTAGTAGTAGTAGTAGTAGTAGTAGTAGTAGTAGTAGTAGTGGTAGTGGTAGTAGTAGAAGTAGTAGGAGGAGGAGGAAGAGTAGGCTTCGAAGGGCCTGCAGCCTCCCTTGCTCCTGCCGACCCCACGGCTGCAACTCTGCAACTGAACAACCGAGCTTCGAGTTGAGGGTCTCTGGATCTCAAGCAAGCAACCTTCGGGAGTTATCTGTTTGTACAAAAGGTCTACACACTGGAATCCTGAACTTTTCAGCTGCCCAGGCCCCTAAATCCTGAAACCATGACAAACCTTTGCCGAGGAGTGCGCACTCTGTAGAATCCGTTGCCTCGGCTGTGCACATGTCGAGTGTGGAGGTTTGGGACCTACGGCTTTATACTCTGCCTTTCCACAACGACCCAATGACACCAGATCCCGTTGCGCAAGTCTACCACTCTACTGCTATTGTATGTTAGACTAGTTACTGGGAACGAATGGCTGGGCTCCTATATCAAAGGGGTCATTTGGTTCCCTACTCCAAAATCTAAACATGTAGGAGAGAACTCGAACGAATACACTTACTAATGTTTACAAATGCCTCCATTGCCGTGCCTCGGTCGGGGTTCGGGCGGGGGGCTGCTGGCCCAAAAACTCAGCTCTCAAGAACACCAAGGCCGAGTAAAATTACCTCGGGACCCTGAAGCCCTAGACCTTAAAGCACCTTGTCAAGGTCTGCTCAGAGTGGCTTCCTCTTGCTTGGTATATCATGTATGATATGTAGAGCCGTTAAACTCACTGGCCCGAAACTGAAGGAAATAGAAGTTGAAACTTTCAGAACCGACTACCTTATAAGAGCCCCAAAAGTTGAAAAGTTGATTTTACGGCCAACAAGTAAAGCAGCACTGTTACTAACTACTCAGACCTGACAACCCAGCCCAGTGGCGCATCAAGTATGGCTGGCAGAGCTCGAACTGGAGCTCGCTCCGGACATCCGCAGACAAGACCCCGAGTGCTTTCACATCCTCGGTGGACTTGGACATTGTTTCGCTTGTCTTGGCGTCGCAACATGACCCTAAACCCTAAACCCTAAACATGAGCAGGGTTTGGGGTTTGGCAATTTGCAGCACTGAAAGCTGGGCGATGCTACAGGGTCAAGGGTCATTGTTGGGGCTTGGAACGACCTGTCTAGAAGCTGATCTTCATCTTGTCATGAGGGCAAGTTGTGCTGTCCGTGCCTGAGGCCAGGAAAACCAGCTTCCATCCTCTCCAGAAACTACTATTGCATCGAAACTGACTTTGAGAAATCCGTCTGCAACCCAAAAGCCGGCTCGCAGACCCGAACACCCCTGCAAGCCTTGGACGCGCGAAGCACTGACTCATATCCCAAAGCTCACAGCCTCCCTAATCCCATTGTGCTGAGCCGCTGTGACCATGAGCGGTTTCACTTCCTCGGCTGCTGCTGCGGATTTCGGTCTAAGCTAGGGTTTGGTGAGGGTGCATTTTCAAGCTCCAAGCCAATTATGAATTGTTGCTTGCGGCCTCTGCTGCTTCACTAAAGCATGGATGAGCCGGGGAATGCTAGTGGTCAGTCGAAAGGCCGCGGACAAGTTTGCCTGTAACTGTGGTTGGCGACATAGGGCGGCGCAAACGGAATTGCTGCTGCTGTCACCATCGCCACCGCCACCTAGACCATCACACCACTGGCGACGACAATGACTACGACGACCACTACTAAATCCACTTCCACCTCTACTTCTAGTGTTGACGACGCATGCCGGCCATTCAGGTAGCCACGACGATCACAACAACCAAGGCGCATCAGCCCAAAAAACTGAACACCATCCAGACCCTTCCGAACCCTAAATCCCTGAACTCACCCCTAACTAGAAGGTTTTCTAAACCCTGCTCTAGCTGTCTGTCTTTTCGCTTATTTAAAGCAATTACAGTTTGGATGAGCTACATTGAAACCCGCGTGAACCTTTGTGAAACCTGACCTAAACTCGTCACAACCGGATAAGCCACTGAAAACCCTGTACAAATTAGTGATCCGACCATGAAAACCAGAAACCCTAAAACCAAAATCCTACTAACCAGAAACCCCAAAAACCGTTGTGCCACTGCCGCTGGTAGAACACTAAACCCTGAACCTAAAATCCTACCAGCACAGATAAGCTTCCATGAGCCGCTCGTTGGCCTGTTTCTGCACGCCTTAGAAGGCTTAGGGTTCTGAAGTTCAGAAGGTGTTTGCTTTCTGCAAGGTCCTACCCGGTTGCTCAGGCTTCTGTGAAGGCTGTTGAGCTTGCGAGGGCTTGACGCTCTGGGGTTTGCGAAGATCAAACCTCTGTGGATTCAGGACTTCGGGCTTGCATGCATCGGGGAGTGGGGTTGCTTTCTGCGGCGGCTTCCTGGCCCCTTTGCCTTAAACCCTTTAAGGCAAAGATACGGCTCCAGGAATACACTCCAGCAACAACGCGAGTTCAAGGAAAGAGGTTTCGAGACTTCTGGGTGTCACGTACATGATGATACTAGTTGACACAGCTGAAAAGACTGTAGGGGTGGAGAACTCTGCAAGGCTTCGGGGTCAAAGAGTCAAGGCGCATAAGGATTGGCTAAGGTTTCGGCCAGCCGGCATTGCATCCGAATCCCAGCTGTCTCAACATTCGAGACTCTGCAGATCCCCATTCATCATCCCACTACAGATCCGTGGCTCCACAGCATCTGGAGCGCACTTTCGCCGTACGAAAATGCAGGAGGGCCGGCAAAGCTTTCTCGCCATCACACGAAAAGTCCAACACTGCTGGCCCTCCCAGGCATTCTAAACCAAACCCCTAAACCCAAAATCCCACAGCCTAAACTCCTGCAAACCTCGGCCCTAACCTTCAAGTCGACAAGCCGAAACTCGAAACTACGTAGTTTGATTGCAGCTTATGCCAATAATGGATCGTTCCCCTTCGCGCAGCATCGGCACACACTGGCTGGGGCAAAAGTACTCTAGAGGCCTCACTTTTAGTACCTGGGGTTTTAATTCAAAGGAGTTTACAGGTTCGAACGCTAGTCGGAATACTTAGTCAGCCAGGAGCCGCTCCGAGAACCCAAGCAAAACTGAGCCGCCCTAGGTTTCTGGCACCTGAGCTAACAGCTTGCAACTACCCTAATCTACCCTAGTTGGCATGGGGCTTCGGGTCTGCCGGCACGAATCAAAGACGATAGTCGTTTAAAGCGCCGGCCCTGTGCCCTGACCCTGGAGCCCTCAAACCAACAAACACTTACAGTAATCCAAAACGGAAAGCTTCTTCCATGACCACTCCGCCCCAGAACTGTGAGGACTCAACTCTATAAGCCCGGTGTGGAAACTCCAGCTGGCGCTGTAGCCTACAGCCCACAAAAAATCAAGCCCCAGTATCTGTAAGACTCCTGTCGAAGCCAAGCTGTTTTCAGCTGTGTCGGCAGCCGTGAACTTGGGAATCTGCGGTTGAAGGCATCCAAACCCAAAGTCATGGCGCCGGCAAGCTTGCAAAGCTGACCTTGAGACTTTAGGACATCCAGACGATGTTCAAGCCGAGTGTGCCGATAGCCCCAAAGCCGCGGGGTTCTCGCTACAAGCTCTGCTGCGGCCGCCCGCGCAAAGAACTGTTGCAGCAACGCGAATTTTAAGGCTAGGTTTGCCGCAATGCTCAAGCCGAGCACTTGCGGAAATGACGAAATCATCTTGGCAACCTGTGCCTGGCTCAGCCCCAAACCCTTGATCCATTCGACTGTTGGCTTCAGATTCGCATCAATGCTGCAGCCCAGCATTGCAGGAAATGCCGCAATCATTTTGGTAACCTGCGCCTGGCTCAGCCCCAAACCCTTGATCCATTCGACTGTTGGCTTCAGATTTGCATCAATGCTGTAGCCTAGCACTGCTGGATTCTTCGCAATCATCTTGGCAACCTGCGCCTGGCTCAGACCCAAGCCCGTGAGCCATTCGACTGTGGGCTTCAGATTTGCATCAATGCTCAAGCCAAGCAGTGGTGGATTTCTCGCAATCATCTTGGCAACCCGCGCCTGGCTCAGACCCAAGCCCGTGATCCATTCGACTGTGGGCTTCAGATTTGCATCAATACTGTAGCCCAGCACTGCAGGACATACCGCAATCATTTTGGCAACCTGCTCCTGGCTCAGGCCCAAGCCCTTGATCCATTCGACTGTTGGCTTCAGATTCGCATCAATGCTGCAGCCCAGCACTGCAGGAAATGCCGCAATCATCTTGGCAACCTGCGCCTGGCTCAGCCCCAAACCCTTGATCCATTCGACTGTTGGCTTCAGATTCGCATCAATGCTGCAGCCCAGCACTGCAGGAAATGCCGCAATCATTTTGGTAACCTGCGCCTGGCTCAGCCCCAAACCCTTGATCCATTCGACTGTTGGCTTCAGATTTGCATCAATGCTGTAGCCTAGCACTGCTGGATTCTTCGCAATCATCTTGGCAACCTGCGCCTGGCTCAGACCCAAGCCCGTGATCCATTCGACTGTGGGCTTCAGATTTGCATCAATACTGTAGCCCAGCACTGCAGGACATACCGCAATCATTTTGGCAACCTGCTCCTGGCTCAGGCCCAAGCCCTTGATCCATTCGACTGTTGGCTTCAGATTCGCATCAATGCTGCAGCCCAGCACTGCAGGAAATGCCGCAATCATCTTGGCAACCTGCGCCTGGCTCAGCCCCAAACCCTTGATCCATTCGACTGTTGGCTTCAGATTCGCATCAATGCTGCAGCCCAGCACTGCAGGAAATGCCGCAATCATTTTGGTAACCTGCGCCTGGCTCAGCCCCAAACCCTTGATCCATTCGACTGTTGGCTTCAGATTTGCATCAATGCTGTAGCCTAGCACTGCTGGATTCCTCGCAATCATCTTGGCAACTTGGCCTGTGGTCAGGCGCATTTCCTCCTGGAGAAAGCCTTGCACTTCTAACCTGTTGCTCCTAGACGCAGTGCCCACCAGCCCTGCGCCCGCCGCAAAGGTTCGTGCGTGCTCGTTAAGCTTCGCTGGGGCGCAGGCCTCCAGCTGTGAAACGAGACCCGACACCAGCTCATCTCGACAATGCTGCAACATGGAATCCGCGACTTGCTGTAGCGTTCTGCGGAGGGCGGGCACATTCTCGGACTGCCAACAGTCCACCAACACTTGCAGGGAGTCGTCCTTCCACTTTCGCTCCTTGTGCGCGATACGCAGTACGACAGATCCCGCAGGAGCGAACCTCAGCAGCGCACGCGTCTTTCGCATGTCCCTGGCCAGGCCCGGTGGCTCCAGGTGACGATAGTAGCCATCGTACTCAATAAACAGTGCAGCGTCAGCGACTTTCAGCACACCGTGTGCTGCAAAATCTGGGCAAAGGCTGCTGCAACCCCACTCCTTGCATCTTTTCACAGGAAAATCGCGGAAAGCCTCGACAATAGGCTCACTCGGCATCAGCAGCACTGCCAGCTGCGAGAGAAGTTCCACCTCCGCCCTGCTTCTAAAGACATTCCGAGGTCGGCCCTTCAGCCACCAGGAGGGTGGAGTCGACTCTGTCAAAGCCGTTCCACAAGCGAAGCGAGGAAGACTCGGGCAGGAGAGGTGTACCAGGCCTCCACGACGAAAGCAGTGTCTCCAGGGCTGAAGCTGCATTTGATGTTGGCTGCAGGTAAGACAGCATTAGCTCTGATCGGCTGAAAAGGGCTACGAAATGCAAAGAACATGTACACCCCATGTGGTCACGTAAGGACAGCATCTTCGACTTGCAAAAGCGGTCTAGGGTTGCCGGTTTGAGGTTCTTAAGCTAAGAGTGGCTGGGAGATATTCACAGCGCACGCACATGCCTGGCCCTCGGCAAGTTTCAACCAATACTCAAACACAAACTCCTTAGCCCACCTACAAAGACAATTCCCTGAGGGTATAAGTAGCAAGTCATTGTCCCGCTTCTGTGTAATAAAACCAAAACCGCGCCATAATGAAACATTAAGTCCCTAGTAAGCCAAAATCCCGCTGACCCCATCAATACCCGCAAGTCCAAATCCTGAAAACCTTAAACCCTAAAGCCCCGAACCCTAGAACCCTAGTCCTAGACCCTACAAAGTCAAACTAATTAAGCCCAAATCTTGTAGCCTCAAGCCAGAGCTTCTGTTACACCGGCTTCCATGGAACCCTCGGGGTGTTTGGGATTCTTGTCTAGGAACTTAGTTAAAGCTATCATAGGGAGATACACCATGGACGTAATTATACATGCATGTGTATGTATTCATATGGGCATTCATAAGTGCATAAATAGGTATGTATGTGTATGTGTATAAGTGCATGTGTATGTATGTGTGACGTGTATATGTATTTTAAATGCATATGTGTACGCAGTTGTATATGCACATATGCATACGCGTGCATATCTCCTTTCAGTATCGGGAATTCGACTATGTATTGCATGTCTCCGTTCTGGTAGTTACAAATGAGGTCCTCATTAAGAGTCGCTACACACTTGGCGCCGAGCTAAGGGAAAGCTTGTTGCTGATGTCTGCCTGCAAGCGCATCGGGCACAGAGTGCACTCGTTTTGGTTTGGGAGTTTGGGATTTCGGATTCGAGGCTACGAGTTTAGCTCGGGGCCTCAACTTTAGAGTCGAGGCATAATCCCCGCGGTGTCTCTGTTGCGGATGCACGTAAAGCTGGGACGTCCCATAATCCACTCTCTTGAAGCAAGCCCAGCAAGGATGAATATCCCACCACAAAGTCATGTCCGGTTGGCTGCCTGAGTTTTTCCCCATTAAGCTTCGTACGGCTTAGAGTCCCGAGTCAAGGGCTCTAGGGCCTCTAGTGTGGGAAGTGACACACCAAAGCGGAAGAGGCAGACGTAGCAGTGCAGGACCGCGGTTTGGCTGAACTGGCAGCCAACCAGATCTCTCCCGATCCCAAACAAACTTCAGATCCCGTACGACGAGTTGTGGACAAGTCTGCGGCAAAGGACAGTCAGAACATCGGGGCAGGCACCGCGATATCTTCGCGCACCCTGAATGGAAGATGCCACCAAATCGTTCTTTGGGATCGAATGTGTGCTATCGCATGTTTACCTACGGGCGGAAGGCGTCGTCTTGCTATGAATGAACACTTCGGATTGGCCAGCCCCAAGCAACCCCTAAAAAGGTCCGAAGCAGCGTGTTTTTCCGCATGACAGCATGCACTCGGAATCCCAATGTGTTCAGCCGCAGTTCTGCGGATGCTCATGCTTCAGTCATTGTCTCGGTGGGATCTCTTGGGATTGGCGCTGGGCGGCTGCAGCTTCAGGCAATCTGCCGTGGCGTTCCTCACGGCCGGGCAGCCCTTGGCGAAGACCTGGGTTCTTGTTAAGGAAACAAAATTAAGTTACCATAGTTAATAAAGAAACCCTAGTACTTACCATCGGTCCCAAAAAAAGGTAACTTAAAATTAATTCCTGAACAAGAGCCCAGAGACCTTGGAAGTCCGTGCCCGCTGCACGAGGTCGAAGGCGCCGGCGTCTTGGACGCGTTTCGCATCGAGCTCTGCGAATCTCCTGAGGGCCTGCACGCCCCAAAGAGCCACCCAGCTTGCCCGCGGGAAGGACTCCATGCAGTCCATGATGATCCGCAGGCCTTCACCCTTGAAAAGCCGATCCCGGGCATCGTCGGACTCTGTGATCATCCGGCAGACCAGCCCGCAACCTTCCTGGACCACCCATTCGGCCTGGGCATTCATCTTCATGGAGTTCATCACATCCTCCAGGGCCGTGGTGCTAAGGAGGGTGTCGGCACCATCTGGCATCTCCGCGATATTGCGTAGAGCTTCGCAGGCTTCTGCCTGGAGCCGAATGTTCTTGGGAAACTTCTTCATGGCATCGAGGATGCGCGGCAAGCCTCCTGCTTTCAGAACGATGTTGGGATAGCGTGTGGCACTGAAAGACATTGCGAAGCAGAAGGAGTACTGTATCTCCTCGTCAGCGAGAAACTGTGCCGCAGCCCGCGCTGCGTTGGTGTAGGCTACTACTTCCCGTGCATAAAGAGGATCTTCCAACATCTTCATCGTCTCCAGTGCCTCCTCTCTGGTGATCTTGAAGACATACCCTTGCTCATCAGCCGCCATGCTTCCATGTGCGGGCTGCCAAACCCTGCGTCCCAAAGCCTAGAACCCCTAACCCCTTGACCCGGACCGCTCAACCAGCAAGAAAGGAAACCGGAAACAGAGTCGCACTTCTGGCCTCGGAATCAGTCCAAATCCTTTGAGTTGGTTTCTGAAACTAGCGTTGGAAACTTGGACCGGGGTGGCTTTGAAGAAGAGCCAGAACGGCACACCGGAGGCTCGCCCGTGCATGCTGCAAGATGCTTCAAGCCAGCCAATCCTAAAGTAGCATAGCTAGGGTCTAGCTCGGATGTGCCTTCCCAAGTCACGAAACTCGGAATCGAAGCCCCATTCGGCACTGACTCGGAACTCCAAACCCGAAAATTCCCCAAGGCCCTAGACAAGCTGCACACCAGACATGTGCTTAGGCCCCATGGTAAGTCCGGTCCAGTCTTGCTGGCAATACGCTCCGCTATAAGTTTGGTTTGGACTTTTGGAGGCCTTGAGGATTGAGTCTCCACTTGTAAACTGCTGGGTCTAACGTTTTAAACCAGAAATCCTGAAGTGAGCTCTGAAAAAAACGAATTATAAACTCCTGGGTCTGGGATTTAAGGGCCTTCCCCAACCCGAAAGCCTGAAGTGAGCTCGAAATCCATGAACCCCAAACCCCCAAAACCCTTATCCCCAAACCCTTTGCCCTTTTGCAGCTGGACCCTTTCAGTCAAATTTGCCCTAAAACCCAAAACCCCCGTAAGGACTTCCAGGCCTGCCGCAAGAATCGACGTAGTTCTGCCATCCTCAGAGTCAGAGCTTTAAGGCTGAGATGCAGGGTCGATGGGTGGAGGGCTTTCGACTCGCACTCTCGCACAATGCAGGCACGGCTTCTAAGGTCCATGTGGGGGTCAGGGTTGAAAGCGTTTCGGGTTGAGAGTGCACGGTGTAGCCTCTGTAGCTGATTGCCTTTTCGCCAAGGGGCAGATGGCAGGGGGTCGAACCAGGAGTTCCAATTTGAAAACATGGGATTCAAAAATAACTGTATAGGATCCGCAAGCACGAAATGTATAATATCTCCAGAGAACATATACCTGTGCATAAGATGGGTCCTTGTGGTGACGTAAGGTGTACGAGATGAAGAATACAAACGCCTTCAACAACAAGCCCTAAAAGTTTGAGAACCGCTTTAAATGCCGTGAGAAGACCACTAATTACGACCGCAATTGAAGTCGGCGTTCCGAGGAGTATAAGTAGGTTGTGGTTGGTCGGTTCTTCCCTCCACCTGAACGAAAGTTAAGGCCGTGCACGCATGATACAGAGCTCATGCAGAGGTCTGAAGAAATAGCTTGCGATTTCTTTTTCTCCCCATACAATGACGATACTAAAGCCATAACATATCCCGAACCCCGATCACTTGAACAGTGACTTGCACTCGCTGATGTTAGTGTAGTGGCAATGCTTTTGTTTGCTGCTGGCAAAATCGGTCGATTGCCGCGCGCCTAGGGACAACCCTGAAATGCCAAATACTCTGAGTTCGAAACAAGTCACTCACTGAATCCTTCAAGCACCACGAAGCAACGGCTTTAGCCTACCGGCATCCCTTGCAGGTGGCCCTGAACACAAATACAACAGCCTGCCCCCTGAACAGCATTCCCAAGACCTCGCAAGAATCCGATCAACTGCTTCAGTCCGGGAGTCTGGTTAGCAGTCTGCGTGCTCTTCATTCGGAAGTTCACCTGTTTAGGCTGTTTAAGGTCAGGAATTACGACTTGCAGCAGGCATGGAAACCCCAGAGCAAGCGTGAGATGCGAGAGACCTTGTAAAGACCCAACACTTGGCTTTGCGCGATCTGGACCACATCCCAAATACTTCTGCAAACTGGAATTGCAAGCCCGTGCCCTGTCTTTAACTCCCAATGTCACACTTCTCTAGCAGTTTGAGGCAAACGTTGATATATCCCACTTGCTCCATGCCCGGCCATCGTAGCAGAAAGCGACGAGATCAAGGAGCTGAAAAAGATCCTCAGATGCTTCAGGCTTAGGGTTCAGGGTATAAGCTTTAGTTGTATGGTTTAGGATGTCGGCTGCTTTTGGCTATGCAACTTTGCGCTCTTAGGGCTGCTGTGGTTCATTAATGCTACATGCCTCAGCTCCAATGATGCCGGAGGTCGCCTAAAGGTTCTTGTGGGCTCCTTACCTGCTGGAGTTTCTGAAATTGGAGGCCCTGTTTGTAAAGGTCCTGGTAGCAAGGACCAGATCTTACTGGACTTTTTCTAGGCTTCATTTTCCTCAAACTCTCATATCTCATCTCGTAGCCCTCCCTTCTCACGTTTCTGACCCGCTTGGGTAAAGGGCCCTTTGAACTTTGTACGGCCAATCGTCTAGCCTGACATGCCGTCCTGCCTGACATGCCTCAGCCCTACTCCACCTTCTCTCGTGCGACGAGCAGCATGCCGAAGACAAGGGCGAAGATGTTGAAAAGACGCTCGAGCCTGGGTTGGCTTTTCTGTTTCAGGACTTGGGCCGTCGGGCTACAGGGCCCCACAGAAAGAGCTGTGAAGGCTGGGCCAGTAATT